AAAATAATAAACCATTACATAAGGCTGAGTGTTATCAAGGTGCTGTGTACAGGATTAACCCATAGCACTTTCACCCTGACTGGACTGGATCACGTACTGATTGTGTGTAGTATCAGAGGTCGGAGTGGGACAGATAAAAGCAAGGTTATCTTTATGGGGACAATTAAATTGGCAATACTGTGATAACTCTACAATTTACACCAATGTCATACAGAATCTTAGATTCTGAATGTAGGTGGTAAATTTTGTTTTACAGACAATTGAAAGATGATATTGACTAGAAAAGTATGTATATCTTCAACAATATTTGGTTAATCCAGTTGATGATTGACAACTGGAGTGATACATATAAGGGGGATTGATAGATACACTGTATGTAGCTATTGACCCAGACACAGTTGCTGTCAGCCGCCATTGTTGTCATCTGATTGGTCAGAAATTGTTGATGATGTCACCTGTCAAAATGGGGCTTTATCAGATCTCAAGTTCACAGATTGAAATAAGATCATTGTCTTTTATAATTATATAAAAATGAATTAAATTCACTGATATCAATCACAGTTGTGACAGTGGAAGAACTAAAAAAAAAAACACAGTTGTGACAGTGGAAGAACTAAAAAAAAAACACTCCTTGTCCGGGATATTTCTCTGCCAGTTTGGTGCAGAGAAGTATTCCAATGCACAGTAAAGATACTTATAAATCATACTGTTTTAGGGTTCATTCCCAATGAATACTATCTTTCTATGTCTACAGATATTCAAGGGGACTATTACTGAATGTAATTCGATTAACACATTGTGATTATACGAGTATGTTGGAAACAAGAGGAGGCCTGTTAATCTGGCAACCTGATTGCAATCAGCAAGGGTCCCTGCAGATTGGATCTATAAACATATAATGATATTTTCATTGGGAATTAGCCCTTACATGTTTTGCTCATATTTGGCATATTTTTTTTTTTTTTTTTAATATAGGCCCAGAAGAGAAATGGTTCTGTTTACTGGATTGATCAGAGTCCTATTTCACTCACAAATTTCAACATTTTCCTGTATTCTCAGCAAAAGTTAACAAATGTGTCTTGTCAGATGCTTAAGATGATTTTGCTTTGGTTTAAATATAAGGAACATTTGCATATTATCATACTCGGGACTAAATCATCTGGCCAAATGAAAAATGACTTAATTGTGGGTGGAAGCGACTTCAGTTGGTCTTTATTCAACTTTCATACTGGTGTAGTGGAAGTAAGCTGTTTACTATTTATCTTTAGAAGCATGTACATTGGGCTTTTTTAAGGGAAAATATGTTTTTTCTTGGTATTGAAGTTGAAAATTAGTTTGAAAACTTATATGATGTAGGGGTTTTTATTTGGAAAAGAAATTTAAAAAAAGAAAAAAATATGAATAGTAAACAAAACTACAGTAAACAGAACTATTCTTTTTTCCCGGCCTTCCAGATCATCCGTCCCTTAACACAATATCGCCAGAAATAGTGAAGACAGAGACACTGTCAGGACAGGACCAAACCACTGTCGCGCTGCCAGGACAAGACCAAACCATGGTCACAGAGGGGAAATCTCCAAAGGACCCCCGGGGAAGGAGGCCCAAACCCCCAGAAGAAGACGAGACCGAAAGCTTCCAGATTGGGATGGAAATCTATGACAAGATAAAGCAGGAGCTGAAGCAGCAGAAGGTGTCGCAGGAGGTGTTTGCGGCAGTGGCCTTGGGGCGCACTCAGGGTCTGCTGTCTGACATGTTGAGGAAGGCAGAACAGGGCGTCCCAGCCACCGCCAGCACCCGAGCCAACTTGCACCAGATTGAGGAGTTTCTACGACGACCACCGCGTGAGCGACAGCGACTTTATAAAGGGTACAAGATGGAGAACAGAGAAAAGAGGAGGATGAGGAGAGAGTACTATGAGGTGAGGCATTGTGGGTAGATGATGATAACAGCATGTAATAGTGTTGTCTTTTGGGATTATGTGAATATCTTTTCAAGATGGAACTTGAGTTTTCTTACTTTTTAATTACCTTAAGCCTCATCCATCCCTGACAACCATTTGTACTAGGCTAATTAAGAATTGATTTCAAGTTTCTTATGTCAACTGAGGTCTTTCTTTGAATTGGATACTCCTATTCCAGTTTGAACCTCTTATATGAATTCAGTCTGACTGAATAGAAATTGCTGTTTAAGGAAGCTAATGTTGCTGTAGACTAGTTGATGTATAGTAATAAGCATAATTAATGCTCTTGTTACTTAAAGATGCATACAAAGTCAAATATTTGTCACAAAAACCAACCAAATGCCAGCATATAGTTTCTAGTAGTATAACTAAGAGAATTACCAAAAGGCATTGTTAAATTTTACCCGAAAATGATGTTTGAACGGATTTTTCTGCTGGCATTCTTAACTGTGGCCTTATGTCCCACGTGGGACGAAGAGCAATGATGATTCTTAACTGTATGTCAATGGGGCAGGAAAGTAGGTCACGAAAGTAGGTTAAATTTACAACCAAAAATTTTAAGAAAGGAGCAGTCTAAAGGTCTTTTGTGGCTGATCGAGTGATCTATTCAGTTTATCCCTTGGCATGTCGAATTTATTTGAGTCATATAAGAATCTAGTAGAAGTGGTTTACATGTGTTACTGGGAATCCACGCTCCACCGATGCTCGGTTCGTATGTACCTTTAAGCCAGAGTTTATTTATTTAGTTAATTTTTGTTATTTATAAATCTGTCTGGATTAAAATGATAGAAAACATGTTGTAAGATGCAAGTATATTGTTGTCTCATGAGGAAAAGGTGCCTGACATATCCTGGATAGATGAGCTTATACGATCAGTCTGAGAATGCTAATATGACTGTGTTTTGTTTGAAGGATGAAGACCAGCCAGCATTTAAGAAACGCACCATGATCAGCGCCCACGCCAATGCCGTGATGATGCAGTATTATGAGAAAGTCTCGGACACACCTGATGATGCAGGCCTTGATGTGATGGCAGAAGTATTGAACCTGGATCGGGACGTTATTGAAAAATTTTTCAAAAATGAGCGAAAGAAGAAATCACAAGAAGGGACTGTGTGATTGATGTTTGTAGATTTTTTTTTTTTTTTTTTTTTGAAAAGGAAAGAACTCTCATCATGACTCTTTTAGTATCAGTTTTGTAATAATATTTATTTTCATTTTTAGTATATATTATAATTATAGATAGAAAATGGCAATATCAGTTTTGTAAACTAGTTCTTCGTTCATTATAACCAGTAGCACAGGCATAATGTTTTTTCACCATATTTGATCAAAATTAGGTGTTTTAATTTTCCCAAGCAGTCTTTGTCATTTATTTATCTGATGTGCTCAGAGGGAATTATGATCCATGTTTTATAAATGACTGAAAATATAAATCACGAAAAGCCAAATGAAATATTGGAGTTGCATATTTAGTCACCTGTTTTTAAAAGATTTTTGAGTAAGTACTGAACTGTATATTTGTTTAACAATTAGAAAAATGCACTGTATGTCCTTGCTTAAGGACAAAAACATTTGTTACTTTGCTAAAAAAAAAGTCAGTAGATTTTCTTTATTAATTAGAAACATCTTTTTTCTTTTATATATAATTATTAGAAAAAATACCATATCTTACTGAAACAGAACATATGGAAGTTGAACTCAAATATTTGGAGAGCAATTGAGTGGAAATGATAGTTAATAGAGAACCTTTCATTAATTAGTATTAAGATTTATAGACTCATAAGACAAGATTATGGAATAGATTTTGTCTTAAAAGACATAATGGAATTATCTTCTGGGTATTGATAACCATTAAGCAGAATGTACCATTTTAGTTCTTTACTTGAGCCAAGTGTCAAAACTTTTTCCTCAATGTTGAAATGAAAATAAAACACTACATCTGAAAAATGTTGTTTCCTTAGAAAGAAAGTCAAAAGTGACAAACAAAACATAGGAAGTGTTAAAGTCGTACTGTTGCAATAGACTTAATGGGTGAAAGTTTTCAGAACTATACCCGATTTCATGATTTTCAGTTTTTTTTTTTTTTTTTTTTTTTTTTTTTTTTTTTTTTTTTTTTTTTTTTTTTTTTTTATATATAAATTGCAAGCTTTGTTTTCAGGATTTTCAGCTTTTATAACTTCCACCCATAAGACTGATTTGACAGAACTAGATAAAAAAATATAAAATTTCATTAAAAATAAAATTGTATGATTTTGGAATTGTATTACTATAAATGTAACTATACATTTACATATATTTTAATCTGTAGTCTGCAAGGTGCATGGGATGAAAGTTTTCAAATAACAGATGGTTTCTAATTTTGACTTGTATGTGCCTTTCAAATTTGCCATCAGATGATCCTCCCTGGATAGGGTGGGGGGAGGGGTGTGTGTTGTGTTGTGATCAGTTTATAAAAATAGTCCAATTCTTTGCCTTAAAGCAGAGCACCTGTAAACCAAGCTATCAAACCATTATTGTTGATAAGCAGTCATGTAGAGTGTTGATTACTTGGAGATGTTTTCATGTCAAAGATGTGTTTTAATCTTAAAAGATAAAAAGTGCAACTGGCTTTGGTTGATACAAAATGTTTTGACTTCAAGTTATTTTGGCTAAAATGATTTGATCTGTATCTTTGATGGGAAAACTAATGCATTCTCTCTCTCTCTCTCTCTCTCTATATATATATATATATAGAGAGAGAGAGAGAGAGAGAGAGAGAATGCATTAGTTTTCCCATCAAAGAAAAAAAAAAAATATATATATATATATATGTATTTTTTTTTTTCAAATTGTATGAAAAAGACTAGTGTGATACATGGGTTATGAAGAGCATGTGTGCCACGTCAATCATGCATAAAAATGAATAAGTTAACTCCTAAAACCAGGGTTTTATTTATTTAAAATAATTTATGTATATTTAACTTATTATTGATTTTTTGATCTTGATATTTTTGTGATTTCTTTATCGGGGTCTTTTTATTGTGATTTTCTTTTTCAGCAGAGCAGGACAGTTTGGTGGCTTTGATTCCAGTGAATGATAAACGCCTCAAACCCAGACGGACGTGAGTATTTCTGCACTGTTTGTTTATTTTTTAACTTAAACATCTGAATTGTATTACTAATGGGTTGCCTATTCTGTTGTTTGGTCACTGTGGATTCTTTTTGAATAAGAATGTTGATATCAAGTGGTAACTATATCAATAACCCTGTTACTGCAATTATCAATACTAGTATATTTTCAACATAATTAGCTGTAAGTCAGTATTTGTTTTAACTAAAAGGCACAATTTCATTAGAGATTTCTTGTGTCAAAACAGTAATCCATTAATTGTTTAACATTTTGTGGTTTAATTTTGTTTGTTTCAGAAATAAATTTAAAAATAAAAATAAAAAATAAAGATAACAGGTGAAGAACCTCTGCAAGTATTCATATTTGACGAAGAATTATAGCTCTTTGATATTTCTTTTTTAAGTAAATGATTCAGTAATTTTATGTCTTTTTCCTCTTTCCAGATGTCTTTGGGTTGCAATTGCAGTCTTCTTAACATTATTGGCAGGTGCTCTCACCGCATTTTTTCTTGTTCCTCGTGAAGTAAAGCTCCTCAGCAATAATCCAAATATCCACCCTTACTCAGTCAACATCAGCAAAAATGGAAACAAGTCATTTGTTGTAATGAAATTTGTAGTAAGTAAATATTTCGCCATTTTATTGCAACTGAATAAACTAAATCTTTTTTAAATGACGGTATTAGGGCTGATTCGGTCTATGTACAACGATATAACACATCAGGTACTCTTGCTAAATGCAGTCAATTTAACAGATGAAACACCTAGCCGAATAATTGTGCCCCCTGGAGAAATTCCCGATATTTAATGATAGTGCCTAGCAGAAGAATTGTGCCCCCTCTCCCCCCATTGAGAGCAGAGGTAGCCTCCATTTTTGCCAAAGAAGTGTTCACATTGTACATGCAAAACTTATATCTGACTTCATTTTCCTTATTTTCTTCTCTTTCAGAATGTATATAACTGCAGTAACCAGAACTTTTATCCAATCTCAATAAAAAAGCTGGAACTTACATCCTATATGTTTGACAGTGAGTCCACCATTGTGGCGCACGCTTACAACAGATCAGAACTCACAGTGCCCATGAAATCCACCAAAGAGTGCTCCATTAATGTCACCATGACCTTTAAACACCAGTTTGGATACATGGCGTGAGTTGATGGCTGGTTTCTTTGGTATCACTTATTTTATTGAAGCCCTTTCACATCAGTTATCATATCTGCTGTACAGGTTTACTGTTCCATACATCTGTACCAGTATACTGTACCATACAGCCGTACCAGTATACTGTACCGTACAGCCGTACCAGTATACTGTACCATACATCTGTACCAATTTGCTGTACTGTACAGCTTTACTAGTGTGCTGTACCATGGCATGCTTTGAGAGATTCTACCATGTAATGACACTAAATGACACTGAACTTTAACATTATCAATTAAGTCACAACATATTGGTATGCCTAAGGTGTGAAAAAAGCAAACATTTATTAATTTTCATAGGATCAAACTTGTTTCCATTGAATTTTGTTACTTGCTGCTATGTGATCATTGTTCTTAAAGTAGGATTATAGTTGTCTCTATGATGTCTAAAAGATATTTTGAGGTATTTACATGCAAAAATGTTGTTGGTTTAATTCCATAACTTTCCATGCCTGGTACCCCTAGTTTGGGAGTGTATTGATAATGTTTATTTTTGCTGTCATTTCCAGCACCTACTGCTGTGACCCAAGGGACTGGGTACACACCTTCATCATGAGATTTCAGTAAGTTTTCCTTTAATTATTGTATTTCATTTTAATTTTTACATAGTTCGTCATGTTTTCATTTACTTCTATATATACTGACCACAACTTCCAACACAACACATAACAATTTTGAAATATTTGGAGTACATAAAATGGGATTTTGGTTTTGAGTCATGATACATCAACTAAACCCTAAAAGCTCAGAAAATTGTTTTGATTTTGTCATGTGGGCAGCTCTTTTCACTTGATTGTACATTGTTTAGAATTTTCCCTATCCCATCAGGTCGAGTAGAACTCTCTGACCAATCATTCCAGAATTTGGTCAATAAATAGCTGTAGTGATAGGCAACTTTAATATTGCTTTGCATTGTCCTTGGTCAACATGTGACCTTGCCGTGCAATGGTCAATATCAGCGAGAGCAAGCTGTTGGTATGCTCATTGGCGGAATGTCCCAAAGACAGGTTGCAAGGAACCTTGGCATCCACGTGTCTACCGTATCATGTCTCCAGAGCTGGTATAATGCAACAGGAAGCACCAGTGATCTTATTCCCCAGATAGAACATCTATGGGATATTCTAGTTCACCAGGTGAGAAGGCGTGATCCAAAACTGGCCACAGTCCGACAGTTGCGTCAAGCACTCAAGGAGGAATGGGACAGCATCACACAGACTGAAATATGGCAATTGATTGATTCCATGCATAGCAGAATCCAGGCTGTGGTGACGCCAGAGGAGGCCATACAAGATTCTGACTTCGGTGCAATTAACTTGTTGTAATAACGTACAGTGAACTTGTGTATGGCCTCCTCTGGCGTCACATACAAGATTCTGACTTCGGTGCAATGAACTTGAAACCAGGAAAAATCTGTTCTTCATTCCCAACTCTGAAACTGTGTTTTTGATTTGAATCTTTGTTATGTATTGTTAAATTTAGCAAAAGAAATAACTTTTGTTGCAATAAACCCAAATGTTGCGTTGGAAGTTTTGGTCAGTATACATTGTATCGTGTTTGTGCACATGTGTATCTGTAGGACAATGGTTATTGAAACATATTTAAACTGAAGATGGCGATGTTTTAAGTTATTATTTTAAGTGTTCTTATATTTGAAAAATATGTCATAAATTTATTGCATATATATTTATTTATTTATTTTATTTTTTTTTTTTATTTTTTTTTTTTTTTAATAATTTNTATTTATTTATTTTTTTAATAAATTCGTCCTACAGGTCAGTGATCACAGCATCATATCTGGGTCACACTGAAGAGATGTCCCTGGTCACCTACCAGAATGTGGACTGCTATCTAGAGAGCAGTAAAAAACAATGTGCAGAGTTCATATAATACCAGGGAGAAAATTCACAGCAGATCTGAACACTGAATGTTTTAGGCTACTCAGACCAGAATTGATAGTGGTAGTCCATTTAAGGCAGTGCTTTGCCCTTCTTGTATTAAAGAAGAAATGGCTAGTTCAGCAGCCAATGCAATATAGGACATATGAGAATATTGAATAGTTATTGAAACAGAAAAATATGTTTATAAGGTGAAAACTTTCTGAGAAAGGAAACTGTCTGTAGTTCGTTTGTTTAATCTCATAACTGATCCTTTTCTTTTTGAAGAATTATTATGGCCAGTTTATACAACTGTGGGACTGTTAAGTTAACTATTTGGTTGAAGCCTTAAAGTCAAATATGAACTCTATTTCTGGTTGGAAATAATTTACGCCATGCTAATTGATTTCAAGTGATTTGAAACTGAAATGAAGAAAGAAATACATTGCAGAGGCAGTGTGTCTCTGTGTATATATCCAGTATATATATGTATGTATGTACACTGTATGTAATAGAGATGGCCAATACACATGTAAGTGAACCTATGCTGGTTTAACAAGATTTAAGTGAAGAACCCAGGAGCTTTCTATGCATTATGAAACAAAAACTGTCTGGCAGACATTTCATGATATTTATTATTACCTCACTCTCACAAATTCATACACATGGTTGATTCCAGAGATATTTTCTGACAGTCGTCCTAATTGTCTTTTTTTATAATCCATCCTCTATTTTTACCATCCTGCAAGTGCATGCACCTGTTATATAATGATAATATTGTGAAATATGAAATATTTTGCAGCAAGACAATGGATGAGTCTTTTAAAAAGGAACAATGACAAACAATTGCACATGGTGAACATTTTAAAATAACAGCCTATGAGAATTAAAATAATGATATAATAGTTACATTTTATCTTCAACTAAAAAGTTGAATGGTACATACATAATTATACTAAAATTGTAATTCTAATAAAATTATGTTAGGATCAGTTAGCTTGAAGAGAAACCGGGCACTTCGCACATGACTACGGTTCAGTAATTACATTTTATTTGTACATTGCACAAGACTGCAATTCTACAACAAAAACAACCACAGTAGACACACTCAACCATTGTCAGCTATTGTGTAAGAAATCATTTAAGATTAAAACTATGTCAACAATGTTGCAAATGGCACTTATTAAACATGTCTTGGTTCTCTACATGTAGTAACAACTGAGCTTACAGGACATGAGGTTTGATATGGAAATGTTCGCTTACTGCCTTAAAAACTGCTTAAGTACCTATAAATATCTAATTATACACCATTTTTGGTGTCATCTATCTTTGATAGATTTTGTTGTTTCTAAAATTCTGTACATATGAAATAAAGGAAAAAATATGTACTAGGCACTTATTTTATTTCATTATAGAGTACGTGGAAAAAGCACTTGAGATACGAGTTAAAGGGATAACAACTCTTCGTATGAGATCTGTATTTCACATTAGAAACGTGAACAGCTCATAGAAATAATATGTTCTGTCGTACCACAAAAACAGCAGTTATAGCTATTATTCTGATATGTGAGCTTGTCTTTAGACCACGTGATCTCCATTGATGGCTATACTCTGTTATAATCTCTTAAGAGATTATAACAAAAAAAAAAAATTTTTTAGAAAAAAAAACAGGGACTAACTTTGAATGTAAAAATGGATTCATTTACCATTGGTAAGTGTGGAAAAATTGTTTACTCCAGGAAAATTAATTTTTTGGCCAAAACAAAGAGTTATTATCCCTATAATCATATGTTTCTGGATATATCACCGTATAAAATTGCTTAATTCGCACCACATGCTTAAATTAAGGCTCTTTTTCTTTTAAATTACAAACTCAATAAGCAAGTAAATTAAATATCTGGTCCATGGTCTGAGAATAATTAAAGACCAAAAAAAGGGGACTTTGAAATTCAACTCTTGACAAGAACCGAGAAGAGAACGCTTTTTGAAGTTCTCATAGATATACAAAATCAAAATTTGTCTTATGTTATGTCTTTCTAAATAAAACATGCATTCGCCTCAATTCTGAAATGTTTAATGTTGATAATGGTATTGTCAAGGCCAGTTACAATCATGCCGTGACGAATGCAGAAGAGAGACCACATCCGAGCTGACTATCCTCTTAGGGGCGAAGTGTCACGAGCCACGTGCTTCTCTTCAACTGAGCGCTTCCTACGCTTACCAAAACTAAAAGGCTGGGTACCGCTGCCTCCGGGAAACTGTGGGAATGCAGGCGGTATAAAATTTGCGGAATTCTCTGAAATTAAGATTTAGAATAAGAAGTTATAATTTGAAAAACAATTTTCAACGTCTTGTCTTTATTGTATATGGTGTGCTTATTACAAGGTATTTTCTATGATAAATAGAAAATTGAAGAAAAAAATGAATGATTTATTAACATGAATAAGTAAAAAAATAAACAGAGACAGAATGATGCATAGGCCTACATACTAATAGTAACACAGACAAAAGGTCCGGGAGACGCAAAGACAGACTGACTGAAAAGGGAACACACACACACACACACACACACACACACACACACACAGCCAAACAAACATGATCACTTACGTTGCGCATTCTGGAAGAAACTCAGGATTGGGTTGATGGTGGTCGTTGTTATCGGCGGAATATTCAGGTTCGGAATATTAAGGTTCGGAATAACAACTGGAAAACAAAAAGAATGTGCCAGTAAACAGATGTACAATAATCTGAGGTGTGAATCAGAATGTGTGTTTGCGTGTGTGTGTGTGTGGGGGGGGGGATATTACAGTTATCACCACCACATCCTTACTCCACCCTCACCCCCCAGATCCAATTTCAATTTTTTCTTCAAACTTCACTCGTCATAGCGCTGCAGTAAAGTTAAACAGTTAAGTACGAGTTGCCACAAAAAGCACTTCACACACAAAAAAAACTTAAGCTTGTCGAATTGTTGAAGCAAGCGTGTATTTCTGACTGCAAATATTTTCGACCACAGAACACATGATATCAAATAAAATAAAAAATAAACAACCTACAGACCAGGAATTTCATTGCAGCGTGAAGCTCACGTAAGTGATTCATGATCCTCAGTCTCCCCCTCTCCCTCTCCCCATTAACGTACTCTCCTCCCCCCCCCCAAAAAAAAAAAGCAAAAGACAAATAAACTAAACCAAAATTCATTCCTGTGCCTTACATATGGTAGAAACATTACCCTCGTCTTAATTGGAAAAAAAAGACACCCTCTCCACCACCACCTTGCAATCGCCTAGGGTCAGTAAACGTGTGTGTCTGCGTGTGTGCGTGTGTTTGTGTGCGTGTGATTATGTGCGTGCACTCGAATGAATGAATTATTAACAATGAATAAGTAAAAAAATAAACAGAGACAGAATGATGCATACATACTAATAGTAACACAGACAAAAGGACCGGTAGACGCAAAGACAGACTGACTGAAAAGGGAACACACACACACACACACACACACACACACCACCACCACCACCACCACACACACACACACACACACCACACACACCACCACACACACACACACACACACACACACACACACCACCACACACCACACACACACACACACACACACACACACACACACACACANACCTGATCTAACATCACAAGTTTTATGTAAAGTTTCCGAAGTTCTCATTCCACTCGCAGTTTTATATGGCAGTTTCCGACTGCCGTAACCTTAAAGTGGAACTCATTTGTTATTTATAGTCACATTTTAATGTAGTCTTTATCAATAAATTTACAGTGATACAAATTACTCAATTCCTACACATGCATTGTCATTAACAAATAATCAACACACACACACACACACACACACCACCACACACACACACACACACACACACCACCACCACCACCACACACACACACACACACACACACACACACACACACCACCACCACCACCACCACCACCACCACAGACACAAACAGCCATACAAACATGATCACTTACGTTGCTGTGATCCCAGCGCATTCTGGAAGAAACTCAGGAATGGGTTGATTGTGGTCGTTGTTATCGGCGGAATATTAAGGCTCGGAATACCAACTGGAAAACAAAAAGAAAGTGCCAGTAAACAGATGTACAATAACCTGAGGTGTGAATCAGGATGTGTGTTTTATTTGTGTGTGTGTGTGTGTGAGGGGGGGGGTAATATAACAGTTATCACCACCACATCCTCACTCCACTTCCACATCCTCCACATCCTCACTAAACAATCTACAGGCCAGGAATTACATTGGAACATGAAGCTCAAGTAAGTGATTCATGATTCTACATTATGTCTCCCCTCTCCCTCTCCCCCTTAACATCCCCCCCCCAAAAAAAAGACAAATAAACTAAACCAAAATTCATTCCTGTGCCTTACATATGGCAGAAACATTGTCCTCGTCTTAAATGGCAAAAGAAAACATCCCTCCACCACCACCCTGCAATCGCCTAGGGTCAGTAAACGTGTGTGTCTGCGTGTGTGCGTGTGCGTGCACTCGTGCGTGTGTTTATGTGCGTGCACTCGTGCGTGTGTGTGTGCGCGCGTGCGTGTCATATCATCACCATATACATATACTTACATAAGTTCGAAATGATGTTGTTAGGATTATTTGGAAAGAAAATATTCGGTAATGTAAAGGATGGGAAGGTGACGGTCGGGACGGTCGGGGTAGCGGGGGTAGTGGCTGGCGTTCCGCCACAGAACACGGTGATTCTCTTGTAATGGTTCACACCGGGAGCCGACCGCAAGGTTCCACACACGGCCATCCCGAAGAAGAAGTAGCACCCGCTGGTCGCGACGTTGTAGTCAAATCCGAAACACATTGGGTTCGAGTTGCAGGCAGCCACGCAGGCCATGAGAGAGGTCAGGTTGGTCTGCTCCACACCACCCAAGATGTTCATGTTGGGGGTGAGATTGAAATTAGCCAAGAGCTGTGCAAGGGTCACTGAAATGGAATATCTGACATTGAAATATTAAGCCCTCTCTCTCTCACTCTTTCTCTTTTTCCTTTTGTGTGTGTGTGTATGTGTGTGTTTGTGCATGTGTGTGTGCCTGTGTGTGTATGTGTGTGTGTCTGTGTGCTTGCGCGTGTGTGTACACATACATGTACATACCTGTAAAATGCATGGGCGTATGTTTCCATGTATGTACGTGGATGTGTGTGTAAAGTACCTGCTGTATAAACTGGTTCTGCTGGATATCGGTATTTGGAGATATTGACAGACTCCCTGAACCGAAATGATTCCGAAACTGACGTTGACCGAGATACCCATACGGTGTTTAGAATGAGTAGATATGATGGAACAAACATAAGACATTACAGTGTATACAGATGTCAAAAGCGCCACCAAAGTATGTTTTACGGAGATATTCTATCAGAAATAATTCGTCTGGTACGTTTCCATTAAAATGCCCATGCCCTGCAAGTAGGTTGAGTATCAATGAAAAAATGAAACACTTACGTGTGGAGGGTGTCGTTGTCGCTGAAAGTTAAACATATATTAAGTTATTTGGAAATTTTGGACAATGTACGTGCATATAAATGCTGTAAATAACGTGGCTGACGTGAATCAACCGTCAACATACGAGAAAATGAACAAGATATTGAAGCTCCAAAGAAACACTGCACTTACGTGGAGATACATTTTAAACATCTACGAAAACGTATTTTGCAAACATGTTGTAGTGTAGTTAAATAGCAGATGGAGCCAGGTTTGTTTTAGTGTCTCTCTGCATATATTATGTCGGATTGGAGCGGGTTTAGATTCACTGAATGTTAATACCATCAATGTACATGTGTATGAAGGTGTGGAAAAACAGCTGTCAGAGCATACGTATATTTGCTGCAAGAACAGAACTGTACTCGCGTTATTGCTTATCTAAATGAGTGTAATAGGAAATATCAGAGGTAGCTCATCGTCTCGCGCTTTTGCGTATAAACCAGCGAGATATCGCGGAATTTGGATGGGAGTGGGTCGGCAATAATGGCAGTCTAGCGTGTGCGGTACAGAAACGAATAAAAATTGGCAGAATTTATACATGGCTATTCTTCTGTTTGTTTTCGTTCAGTTCCGTAGAATTATAGTCTATTGCACATCAGTACAGATTTATCACATTTTGCGAATGACTTTGGTATTGCTTTCTAAGGCAGCAGTGCATAGAGCTTCACCAAGCTCAATGTTAAGAAGTTAATCCAAAAATAGCCTATGCCTACGCTTATTCTAGTTTTCTATGACGTCACGAAATGACGACACACAAGTTTCAGACAATCTGGGAAGGACCTCGTTGGCTGAAAAAATGCACAATACGCGCGTGTTTCAATTTCCACGTGCGTTAGGCACAGCGCACTCACTTGTGCAAGCTCCTACTCTCCTGTAGTTATTGCAGGTCGTCTTGTTGACCAGAGCGTTGCATCCAGTGGCAGCGGTGTGAACGAAACACGTATTGCTGGCCATGTTCCAGTCGGCAGCGACACAGTTAGACATGCTGTCACAGGCGGTGGTGCAGGAACTTCCTGAGGTGTAGTTGGCCCCCGGGAGTTGCATGCCGTTGGGGATGTGGGTGCCCATTGTCACTGTGTACATCTGTGCCACTGAAACAAAACAAAGGCAGTTTTTTAATGGATTCAGGTGGTGGAAACGAGCTACTACTACTTGTATGGTTGTTGGCAAACTCGTAGATATTTGAGTTATGTAAGAACCGAGTAGTGGCGATTTTTATGCGTTATAGGGAATGAACAAGCTAGTGTAGGCATACCCTCGATTGTTCTTTATCTTAAATTTTGATCGTTTGAGCCGAATGCACCAACGATTCTGTGAACACTGCCACAACGAAACAGAGAAAATACATACACCTCCAACGGTTGATATATTCTGTCATTTTATTTACATTTCAGAGCTACATGGAAGATGCTGTGCACTTACTGAACGTAGGCGGCATGATTAGTGTGGTAGGTGTCACTGTAGATGGCGCTGAAAGAATTGAATACTATATTTTAACACACGTACAATATCAACAGTGTGAGAGGAAGGATGAGACAGGGCTGGCAAGGGGGGAGGGAGGTGGGTGGATGGCAAAGTTGATTGTTCTAAGCTCTAAGTTTCGAGTGAAAAGGTTTCGGGTGACAATCAACCCACATTTACCAAGGGTATTATTTTCCAAATATATCGGGTAGATCAAATAAAAAGTAACATATTTCAAAGTTCAATAACTTCAACAGTTCACAAGCTTTGGAATTTTGCTCAGGTTCTGATGCATTATTAATTTCAAGAAGAAAAGTGAAACAGCATTTATATTATTGTCAAACCAGACAATAGGCCTATATGACGGCATGGTGTCATAATTGCCAGAGACTGGCACTTATCAGAGGTCACATAAGCCGGTGTAACACGGTTGGCAATCCGTAGTCAGTTTCCCATTACTTTGTACAGGTGACATTCGTCCCATATACTAACCCCCAATACTCCAACTAACCCTAACCTGTACTAATCATATGGGACCCTGGACTTCCATTCCTAGGACAACCACTCCTGTCACGAGGACATAATATTTTTGGCTTAATATATTAATTTGTGCCGAATTACTAAAGGCAGAGAAAATTTCAAGATTTTATGAAAACATCATTTTCCTAAAACATCCCAAAGTTCAATGTATATATAATATATCAAAAATATATCTGCAAAATTGGAGACGTCATTGAACTTAGTGACTTTTTAGAGCCACCCAATATATACTTACATTGGCAGTTTTAAGGTTCGAAGAAAAAAAAAACAGGGAGTTATATCCTTCTTGGGAAATTGACAGTTCGTGGTACATATTTCTTTAAAAGAGCATTTTTAAATCACTTACTATGTTTAATTATTACCACTTAAATGAGTTAAAGATCAAAGAATACATCCAGAGTATCATGTATAGTTGCAATTGGAAAAACTGAAAAATTAAAAAGTAGAATTTTCATTTTTAGTAGAAATACAGGGGCCATTCAGAATAGAAAATTTGAGTACCAACTGTTCCAAGGATCAAAAATGGCGGACCTACATGAAAGGAAGACCGTTCAACCCTGCAGTGATTTCTCCGCCTCTCATACGCGTCGTCCTTGCAGGGCCACAGTAATTAAGTCTCGACTCTATTCGACCATTTTCTAGCATTGCAATAGTTGTGTTTTCATGGTTAATCGAGTTACAAATAAAATATCGACTATAACTTATTTTTATTTTTCTTTATCTATAAAAGAAAAACTTAAAAGTGGTCTGAATTCGACATTTCACAATTGACAGACATGATGAAAAAACATTTCTTAGGTTTAAATCTTCTATGTAACATCGACATTCCTTAATATATATTAAAATCAATATCGGTCAGGCGTATTACTACTTATCTTCTTTTCATGATGAATATGAAAATACATTTCGTGAGAGGGAAATCATGGTGTCACTGTGAAATCTCTCGTAGTACCCGCACGCAAACGCTTCTTCCAGTTAAAAGTTGGTAAATAATGTTGCATTTGTCTTATTTTACTTAAAACTATGTGAACATAATCATGCTTTCAAGAGCGTTTGACTGTTTTCGCACCAGTTTAGACAACAGTACAATTCAAGCTGTATAAAAATAAAATGGAATGATCTCAGCAAGTATATGAATTATAAAAAAAATGATAACGCTTGTTTCGCCCTTTCATTGTAGGCAAGGCACTTCATTTTTAGAGTTGGACACAAAAATGAAAAATAAATAAATAAACAAATAAATACATAACTTACTAGGTTGTGCATCACATTGCGAGATTCTGGACAATGCCATCAGCAATGAAAACAATCGGCAATAACTTAGCAGACGAGAGACGCCGCCCATGGTCGTCGGTAAACCTGTCGTCTGCGCGCTGCTCTCGCAAAAGAAAGAATGGTAAAATATCGAAAACAGCACTGCTTAAAAAGCCATACACATCAGCGGACATTATTCATGAAATGTAAAACAAAAGCAAGGCATGCAATTCAATGAAAACAATAAAATTTTAGAATTCCTGCATTTTTTTAACAGGGCTGGGAGCAAATCCGGTTTTTAGTTTAGTCGCCATGCAATTTTCTCTCCTCTTTTGGGGATTTTGGAAAAATAACAAAAAGATTAGTTTGAATGCATGCAGTATGTCGATTGTCTTGTTTATTTATTTATTTATTTATTTACTATATATTTATTTATGCCCCAAGAACGAAATTCTGGCCCTCAATGTAAAAGAAATGGGCATTTAAAAATATCCGACATTTTGACCTAAGACAAGGCCCGGTGCAGGCCTTGGAGGGGCGGACGTTTTGTTCCTTACACGTTCCATATTTCATAACTGCCTGCGAGAAAGACATATCTTCAATGAAATTTATTTGTTTTTATTATCCCCTCGGGTGATCGAGTTACGCAAAATGAGATAATATCCTTCAACTCAGATATGCAAAGCATAAAAATATGTTATCACTGCGTTGCCGCTAAAGAGATGTTTCACCCGATTAACTGATAGTTAATCGTAGCAATTATAGCTAGAAACACATAAAATAGAAAGGACAACTTGATGAACTTTAGAATCTTTTTAACAAGGCAAAACCACTTTTGGTGAAATGTTGCAATTCTATTATAATTTGCACTTCGTAGATAAAAGTATTACACAGAATTTTCAAGAGCGCAGCATTTTGTTCAAAGTGCCGCTCTGGAGTATACCGGTCATTGTGTTTGTGACGTACCCATGTAGAAGTAAACCGACATATGTTTTAGTTTATTATTTTAACGAGTTTGAAACACATATAACGTGGTGCATTTATTTCTGATTTTGGTGTCAATTATTTGGACAGTGGGGCAGAATTTCTGTCCAGGCGCATGTTTCTTCTTGTATGCCCCTCAGTGCCTACAGGGAAGGAACATTTTTTTCATGCTGATGAGCAGGTTTGGTCGTGCGCGCGCTTTAAATTTTGCTGTCCGATTTCTGACTTTCTCCCTATGCAATCATGGATAGACAGAGCGTATCAATGAAACTGGACCATCCACATCCCCGATGATAGGCCTATCAATCCCAAAAGTTTTTAACTTCCTCATTCGTATGGTCAAGTAGGAGATAGGCGCTGAACCTATAACATAGAAAATGTGCATCGTCCACCCCCATAGACAGCTCTACACAAAGGCACATTAACACTCTAAGTGCCCATTCACATCCCTGATGACTAGTACATTACTTCTTCACTCTAATGGTCGAGAAGGAAATAGAGCAAACAACAATATATAAAAAATCACAATCATCCGCTCCCAGGGACAGCCCAACACGAAGAGGCACACATTTTGAAATGCTAATGTACATCTGTATTATTAGGTCTACCAACCCGCAACGTTGGACCTTCTTCATTTTAATGACCCAGGTTAGAGTGAGGACATGGCCGAACTGTTAAAGGAAATATTCTTGAATTGGTTATATAGAAGGGGACCTCTAATTTTTATGTCTGTATGNACAATCATCCGCTCCCAGGGACAGCCCAACACGAAGAGGCACACATTTTGAAGTGCTTATATGTACATCTGTATTATTAGGTCTACCAACCCGCAACGTTGGACCTTCAAATCCAGCATATGTTAATGTCTCATAGGCCTAAGTTAAAATCTAGTTAAATGCACAAGTAAGAGGACTAATTCAAACATCTTATGCTCTTTACGTTACATCCATGTGGAATGAATAACACTAATAAGGCAATTGCATGTTTAGTGCAGACGAATAATAAGTTAGTCGGGGTAATGTAAACAACCTTATCCAATACGATATTTCCAAAGCATCTTTTTTGTATATACGAGTGCATACGAAATGAACAAAACTTATCCTAAAATGCTTCTAGGTTGTTTTATGTAAATTTTATTGCCTCGTGCGTTATGTATGGTTTCTTTAATAAACCTCGCAAATAGTGACATAAATAGTCACTATTTTGCCATAAGACCAGTATATTCGGTATTACAACATTGCTCAAAAAGGTTGTCCAACCCCAAATTCCATGTGCTTTTATTTACAAATGATCCCCTCACGGCTGTACACAGTGCTCTTTATTCCAGATACCACTTCTAGCATGATTTATGATTCGGAAAATACAGAAACGGTGAAAATATCTGTATTTTATACCATTTATTCAAATTTAAACCATGCAGCCCTTCAAATCCAGTGTTTCACTGTTAAATCAGCAGATCAGTCATATGGCAACTGGCTGCGCGTAGGTAAATATTCAGAACGGAGCGCGAGCGCTAAGATGACGTCGCGGTTGAAATTTTGTAAATTTCGCAACCAGCGCGGAAATTAAAGAATTGTACTTTATTACCTCTGAATGTGCTTATGAAAAATTAAGGCATGGTAGCAGAGTTTATCACGCGTCTGTAAGTGTGAGATTTACCCAGATTCAAAGTGAAATGAAGGAAATATAACTCGACAATTTCGGCCAACATGCCGATTATTATCCATAGCAACACCGTAACATTTTGAGATATCTCCTATCACAGAGAGTGTGCACCTTATTCCAGTCGATAGAAGATGACTTTTAATACGCAAAATAAACCTACCAAGTTTCATCAGAATTTATTCTGGCAACTTTTTTTGCCAGCTGTTGAAGTGCGTTTTTGTCCCTATTCCGCTAGATGTCAGCCATATTCTGACGTCATTTTTTTCAATACAGAAGCAAGTGAAGGTCTGCTGACTTTTTCAAATATCGAAAATCAAAGTACTTATCTTTTATTTCAGTAACAAAACTATATTTCCAATAATTATAATAAAAAATCAATGTGTTAAAATAACTTATACCTNCCCTATTCCGCTAGATGTCAGCCATATTCTGACGTCATTTTTTCCAATACAGAAGCAAGTGAAGGTCTGCTGACTTTTTCAAATATCGAAAATCAAAGTACTTATCTTTTATTTCAGTAACAAAACTATATTTCCAATAATTATAATAAAAAATCAATGTGTTAAAATAACTTTTACCTTCTCGGATGTCTTAATTCAAAATGACGATTTTTATCATTATCGCACCTGCAGTTCTGCGCTGTCGATGAGAGTTCTTCACCAAATTTGTCGTCATACAGCAGTCTGCACAATTTTGAATGAAAAATCGACTTAGCATCAGAGTATCCAGTTTGTTCACCATTACGCACTAGGTCTCAAACTCTGTTGTTTATTTCCATTATCAAATTTCAGCAAACAAAACGACTTCAGAATTTAGCACTGCACGCGTCTTTGACACATTTCCACTTGGTGTAGGGGAGTTCAGTTTGTAGCAGACACTTGGCATGACTTTTAATGGGAAAGGAACACTTAAAGTTGCATGAAAAGTAAACGATGTAAATCTTGATATTTTTTTGCAAATACTCAATAGATTTAAAATCGTATTTGAAATTATTTATACAAAAATCTCAGTACATGTTACTGAGCTGTCCCCCTCAATTCTTTCTTCTACAAAAATGGACTGAGCCGCACACATTTGGAATGTGGCACTGGTATCTTTTTTGATACAATTTGGATACTTTTTGGAGATTTGCACATGGGTCAACCAAGTACGCTTTCCAAATTTACAAATTTTTCACTGCATGGAATGAACAGTACATGTGCACGTTCTGGCAATGACACTTTATTTGTATCAGGACACATATATAACTCAAACATATTTCCATTGTAAAAGTGTGTCGTGAGACTCGTGATCGTAGAATCCACTTATATTATTTTTCTAACAATTCCATATTTTTAAGCTTGTATATTTTTTAATTTACTACATGTATTTGGTGTTGGTCAAAGGAGAAACTATAAAGGGCAAAGATACACTTACAATCTTAAATTGGCGAGTTACACTCATGATAAAAACTATCAAACATTGAATGTAAAGTTCAATTTCAGTTAAACAAAACTCAGAAATGCATAAATCGCTTTCAGGCTTCTATTTGTATACATATATGTGTAACAAAAAAGTATCACTAATTTCATTGTGGTTTGATCATTTTTGAGAAGCTTGCGGTACAGTTAAAATAAGAAAACTGCACATGTTTTCTCTCATCCAATCTGCCATGAACAGGTTAAGTATGCCAGAAAACATATTGGCACATACATGTACAGGCAGAAAAGCTCTTCATCTGTGAATTCTGAAATAATGAGAAATAAAGAAGCTGACAATAATTGTAATGAAAAAAATAACAATAAATAAAAAGCTAACAGAGCAATTTTAGAATACGCTCAGGTACGTAGAGTGGTACGGATTACATATCATACCCGTACATGGTAAACCCATATGGCATTCAATGAAAGTTAAACTAAACAACATGAATTGCGTTTTACTTTAGAAGGTCTGCTTTACAAACGTAATCACTAACCAGAATTACCTTTGTTAAATGTCTGTCATCCTTTTCAGTTCTAGAGTTCAGCTACAACCCGCAACAGATCCACATTTATCCGCCTCTCTCACTTCTTTACACGTGTTCACTCCAATTTGTTTACGCAAACTCTTAATACATATGTAGGTCAACATATAATCTCCTGCATAAATATTATTAGATTACGTAAATTCAAACCCTTTTCCTACGGTAAGGCCCTTCAAAAATGATAAATTCTCATTAATAAAATCATTCAAATGTGGCCCAATATTCCAAATGCATATCCACAAGCACATGTTTGCCTTTTGCGTATCACGTATCAAGAATAGGTGAAGGTCGTTCATAAAAATACTCACTGAAACTAGTTCAAACTAGATTTGTGCGATTCAGCATTGATTTCAGGTTAGTTTCAATTAAATGTGAATAAAATATGTAATCTTTAACGGTTTTTAGATAGAAAAATTTTATAGTTTGGCAGAGGTATCGAGAAGCGCCATTTTTTTCCAGATTTTTAGTTGAATGTTGGATTAGGGAACCGTGTGACCATACTAGAGAGTGTGCAAACTATTCCCTTCAAAATTTTAAACTTTGGATGATATTTTAACTTATATCTAAAAATGAAAAAAATTCAGGCTGGCAACTTTTTTTCTCGCAATATAGTCCCACCCCCTACGAGAGTCATTTTTGGGTCGATTTTTTTTCAGAAATTCAATATCGTGAACTAATTTCATTTAAATTTGTGGATATTTCAGTAATCCTTTGAAATCATGAGTAAGAGCATGAACTTTTCTTATTATCTTTACAAAATCACAACTCAAAACGCCCTGGTTTGTTTTTAAAAGGATTTTATTTGCAAGGTACGGTTTTTCACGTCAGCCATCGCAGATGTCCAGAAACGGCGCTACTTCGTGACGCGGACTCACTGAAAAGTTTCAAATAACCGCCATGACGTTACGTTTTTCAGCCAGTTGCCATATGACTGTTAAGTCATTTATAAGACATGTGGGAGACACTTTGCACTTTTAGGTACAAACAGGGAGGAGAAAGTTAAGGTCTGGCCTTGTACAGTTGAACTCTTTGAGAAGAAGGCGTATGACGCTAAACGGGTTTGTTGCTACACTTCATTATAGATTTTATTTTTGATTTATAATGGTATTTAATATGCTATATTATATTCAACCTTTATAAAAGATGTACTATTAGAATACTTGCAATTTTATAACAACATCCTCAAAATGTTTCACACCTTATCTCGTTGATACACCAGTAAAACCTTATAACTGCAGTTAATTTTTTGGGCAATTAACAGGTCTACAAAAACTACACAGAGTGGAGGGGGAGAGCTGTGATCATCAACAATGTCAGCTTTGACAATGAATTTTCCCTTGATAGAAAGGGCACAGAGGTGGATGTTGAGTATTTGAAAAGTTTATTTCGGCAGTTACATTACCTGGTGTTGAAGCATGACAACCTGACAGCTGAGGTACGTTGATCTCTTAAACTGTCAGTTATCCTGCCGCATGTTTATATTTTATATACTAACTTTTGAATGAATACATATATAGATGTGCATCTCACATGCAGAAGTGTATAAAAAATAAAACTGAATGAATTCAAAGTTTTTTTTCAAATTTTAAAAACATATATGTGTATAGAACAAAAATCCACGAGTGTCTCAATTAAATTTATTTTTTCAATTTTACCACGTCTTTATGTTATGACGTTGTTGTTACCCAGTATCGTGGACATATATATATATATATATATATATATATATATATATATATATATATATATATGGGAAATGCCAACCATCTTGGATTTTCTAAAAACGCTGAATTTAGTTTGTCAATTTGGGAAAGCACTGTACAAAAAAAATCTGTTGCAATTACTTTCCAGCTTGGCCTCAAAATGGCTTAGATTGCTAAGACTATGTATTTAACCATAAGGTGATGACTAATACCCCCTTTACACTGGACGGCGTCCTTTTTCTGCGACCATGAAATTTGGCATCGCTGTGGTCTTAATAAGGAGGCACGAGCATTGATTTGGTATCAGAATGAATGCTCAATGATCGGCCAGTTGTTGGCACGTAAAGTATACTGAACAAAAATATAAACGCACGAAACTAAAATGGTCAGTTGAAATGGATAATCATGAAGTATGCCCAGGTTGATGGTTTATTTGTGAACTGATGGATTTGTTTTGATCAATTATAGTGGTCTGGTTTCACTTGGCCGCTCCCCGTGAGTATACTCAAAGGTTCAGTTTTTACACCCATAAGACTAATGGAGCATGACGGAGTAGAGGTCAATCTGCAAGACCAATACTCTCTACCGTCTAGGCAATAAAAGGGCACACAGAAATGTGTATTTCTGCCACTTGTCAACATGCCACAGATGTCTGGAACCATGAGGGAGCATGCCACCAGCATGCTCAATGCTGGCTTGTCAGTAACAGAAGTTGCAGCATGCCTGAATGTGCATCATTCCACTGTCAGCCGTATGGGAACACGCTTCAGAGACACTGGTAGCATTAGGAACCACCCTCATGCACCATGTCGCCCAACAAACACCTGTGGAATGTTCTGGATCAGAGTTTTCAGCCATCATGTTCCAGCTCTCGAAAATGTTCGCCAACTGCAAGAAGCACTCCAGGAGGAATGGGATAATATCCCTTAGGCCTCTATTGACAACTTAGTGATGTCCATGCGCCGCTGGTGTACTGCTCTGCACAAATTTAATGGTGTCTGTGAACTCAGGATGTTGACCCCCATGGTGTATTTGCTGCCCTAACTCTTGGACTATGCATTTAAACTTCCCCTAATTCTCTCAAAGTGATGTCTATTTGTCGAGAAAAATATGCTGTTATTTTTGGCTATGCACTCTAGTTCCATATATGAAACTAAATCTACATATTCTTTCGTGCGTTTATATTTTTGTTCAGTATATTATAATTCTTTAACTCTCAAATTAGGCCGAACTGCTGGACGCAGAAGGGACGCCGTCCAGTGTAAAGGGGGCTTTACTCCCCATCAACACACTTGACCTCACTGATAATGTCATATGAAGCGATGTGTCAGTTCATGATACAATAAAACAAAATGGTTTAATAAAACATAAATGATCAAATGTAGATATTCAATTATGTTATTTAGGCTATTGACCAACTAGCCACACGTGAGGCAAGAACTGATCACAGTGCTTACTCTTCCTTCATCATGGTGATCCTGAGTCATGGTGGAGAGAACACGGTGATAGGCACTGACGGTTATCACATAGGATATGACCAAATTCTGGCACACTTTGAGGCTTCCAGGTGCCCGACACTGAACGGCAAACCCAAGATGTTCTTCATATCTGCGTGTTAGGGCAGTAAGTACTATACATCTTGGTTGATGCATTATTGTGTTCTTCACCTCATGTCAGACAATAATGAATCTGGTGTGTGAAATATGAGATGAGGTTTTCTATTGATTGTTTCTTTTGTGCTTTTGAGTTTAAACGTATTGTAATTGTTATAATGGTTGATATAGTAAAACGTTGTATCCTATCTTTTATACAGCTGGGGAGGTTAGCTTTTTTTATTCTTTATCATATAAATATGAAATGGAGCTTTATTAAACAATCAAACTATTGCTCGTTTCAGTAAATATTTTTTTCTTTTTTACACATTATAAAATGAAATGTTTTTGTGAGTTTTGGGAATTANACTTCCCCTAATTCTCTCAAAGTGATGTCTATTTGTCGAGAAAAATATGCTGTTATTTTTGGCCATGCACTCTAGTTCCATATATGAAACTAAATCTACATATTCTTTCGTGCGTTTATATTTTTGTTCAGTATATTATAATTCTTTAACTCTCAAATTAGGCCGAACTGCTGGACGCAGAAGGGACGCCGTCCAGTGTAAAGGGGGCTTTACTCCCCATCAACACACTTGACCTCACTGATGATGTCATATGAAGCGATGTGTCAGTTCATGATACAATAAAACAAAATGGTTTAATAAAACATAAATGATCAAATGTAGATATCCAATTATGTTATTTAGGCTATTGACCAACTAGCCACACGTGAGGCAAGAACTGATCACAGTGCTTATTCTTCCTTCATCATGGTGATCCTGAGTCATGGTGGAGAGAACACGGTGATAGGCACTGACGGTTATCACATAGGATATGACCAAATTCTGGCACACTTTGAGGCTTCCAGGTGCCCGACACTGAACGGCAAACCCAAGATGTTCTTCATATCTGCGTGTCAGGGCAGTAAGTACTATACATCTTGGTTGATGCATTATTGTGTTCTTCACCTCATGTCAGACAATAATGAATCTGGTGTGTGAAATATGAGATGAGGTTTTCTATTGATTGTTTCTTTTGTGCTTTTGAGTTTAAACGTATTGTAATTGTTATAATGGTTGATATAGTAAAACGTTGTATCCTATCTTTTATACAGCTGGGGAGGTAAGCTTTTTTTTTATTCTTTATCATATAAATATGAAATGGAGCTTTATTAAACAATCAAACTATTGCTCGTTTCAGTAAATATTTTTTTCTTTTTTACACATTATAAAATGAAATGTTTTTGTGAGTTTTGGGAATTGCTTCATTACCTCATTGTCTTGCTTTTTTCTAAGTACAAAAGGCTCCGTTGTTTAATACGGAACAAGCGCCACCGAGACCGCAAGATAGAGAAACTCCAGAGAAAGCCGATATGATATTAGTAACTTCAACAACCAGAGGTAAGATTGAGGAGTGTTCTTGTTTTTAGTGACTTTTTGTTCTATGGAAACCTCAGTTTTTTTNATGCAATTCTCTCTCTCTCTCTCTCTCTCTCTCTCTCTCTCTGTGTGTTGTGTGTGTGTGTGTGTGTGTGTGTGTGTAGACAAATTGTAAGGACGTGTAATGTGAGTATCATTAGATGCCGTCTGCAAAATCTTTGTCCTGTTAGAGTCTTCCTGGCTGCATTTTGACCAAAGTGACCATTGTTTGACACCGGGCACCAAAACTAAGTTTTGCTGAATTGACCTTTCAGGTGACAAGTCTTGGCGATCTACTGAACGTGGTACGTTTTTCATTCAGTGTCTGGTGAAGAGCTCTCGGAAAGAGCATGTGACACCCAACTACTTGATATATTGACACAGGTAATCACGTATTACAGCAGTTCTCTTTGAAAATCCAAGAAATTAATAGAGAAAAGGGAAAACAAAAATAAAGACAAGGGGTTAATGTTGTCCCCATCAACTATCACACCCGGTAGCTAGGTGTGGCAGGAACGGTAGACCGCTTGCATCCGTAGTCCCCATTATTTTGTACAGGTGATATTCGTTTCATGAGATAGATGGTTCTTATGGGATGCGCCTAGCTTTTAGTGCCAGTTAAAAATATCAGAAGGGACTTTTTATACGTTTTAAATGCATGTCCTTCTGCGGCCTCACGAAAGCCGAATAGGTAAATGCACTGATGTGATCAACGGAGTATATCTCCCTTTGCATTGGGCGACGTCCTTGCTGCGTCTTTTGCACGACCATGGAATTAGCATCGCTCTGGTTGTAGAAAGATAGCACACGCATCGATTCGGTTGCAACATTAATGCTCAATGATCGGCCAGTTGTCGGCACGTAAAGTTTTTTTTTTTTTATCTCAAACGGGGGCGTATTATGGAACACAGAAAGAACGCTGCCCAGTGTAAATAATATCCCAATTAACCCCCCTTTACACTGGACGATTATATATGAAATAATTATGAAAAGTAGCAAAATATAAATAAGAATAACACATTTCGAAGAAAGTGGTTGATGTTGCTATGTCAACTGGTTATTGTTTATCAACAAGGTGAACGACAGTGTCTCCAAGATGCCAACTCAAGATGGCTGCCGACAGATATCAAGTATATCGACGCAAACATTGAGGAAATCTTTGTATTTCTGGCCAGGGCTGTACTATCCAGAGTGAATTAAGGCAGTAGAAGTGGACATTCAGGTACAATTGCTATGTAGTATCCACCCTCATCTTCTGTTACCATGATGTTTCTATTGAGACTCAAGTAATCTAAATTTGATTACATGTTCATTTTTCTCAACCTAGAGTTGCTATCAGTTAAAATCTATTTTAATTTGGTTTCAGTTGCATATAACCTGGAATAATATACTGTTATTGATAATCAGCATTTGCATTTAGTATAATTATGGCAAATAAAACCGTAAATTTACAAAGTTTGGAACACGGTTTAAGCACCGTATATAAAGAAGTAAGAGGCGTATTTCATGTTGTGCTTATTATGTTGTTTTTTTTCAAACACTTAAAATCAAACGAAATGTGTGTCAGGTGTCTGGGTTAGTACTTACCAAAAATAGAGGTGTTCCGTTTTTGCTGCCTGTTTCTAATCTTCACATAGCTGTAATTTCTCAGGCTTTCATCCAGTTGCAAGTGCAAAACCTCTATTTACAATCATTCTCAACTACTGTGTCTGTTTTTTATAAAAGGCTCATGCTGTCTTGTTGTTATATGTTTATGGAGTAAGAACTTCACATAATGTGGTTGTATGAGCAAAAATGTTAATTGGCTTGGTAGTTGGACCATACATGATGATCATTCAGGACAAACTGGATTTGTTCTTCCTACCTTGAGCGGACCGCCTACAAATATCTTGTCCCCAATCAGCTAGGGTAAAGATAATTTCCCCCTAACAGCTTTACTAGGCGTGACAGACATTTAACCCGGTTAAGTTGATATCAATTTAGTGAGACTCCCCCGGGAGATAGATCAATCCAAATATCTGTGGGAATGGTCCCTTAGAGAGTGGGTCTCATTTGCTTACATTTTGTTATAGCTAATTTCCCCAAAATAACAACATACTGAGACACCTATTATATGCCCTTTCCTAAAATCATGAGGATATATGTAATTAGCTGTTCATATCACTTGGTGTCAATTATGTGATATACTTACTTGCTATATGTTTAGTGGTCCACCCTGTGTTTGCTAAATCATTGGTGTAACCAGGTAAATCTTTGATCAAATGTTTACTTTGAAATAAGTATTCTCTGCTGCCTTTTTATTTGTACAAGGCAAATGTTTTATGACTGAATTTTGAGCATATCACAACTTTTATATATCCTTGTAATATCCACTTGGATGAAGTTGTTTCTATAGTAGTCAGTATCTGTCATATTAAGGTACTGGTATATGAGATGAAAAAGTAAAATTTCATTTTGCTTCTTTTACAGAACCATCAACCAGTAACTTATAACTCTACAAAAAAAATATATGATCCATCTCTTAAGAGGTAGAGAGAAATGTCAGGGCTTGGCATATCAAAACTGCCAGTGATTCTAATTATCTGCCATGCAGTGCATTTTTTGGGAAAGGAAAGAGAAAGCTTTTGATATACATGTATACATTTATTATGGCAAAAGTGCCTTCATACTTTTTAGAGGCTTTTTCCTGTCGACGTTGCAGAAATAATATCAAGAGTGCCAAAATGTTTTTTTTTTAATCTTTATAGCCAAACAGAAGCTAGTGGTGGCAGAGGTCAGGTAAAATATTTTGCTTGTCAAACACCAGTGAGCAGAGCATGCCTCCTACCTGAGATGCTCTGAATTTGCATATTAAAGTATCAAATTATTAAACAAAAATTCACAGACCTGCTGCTTAGCAGTGGATTGAAGCACCGCACCCCAATGGACATGGAAACTCAAGATCAGTGATATTGAAATAAAGTGGATAACCCAGCCTCTGAATGTGTATTTGCTATCCATTAGTTGCAAGTGTGAAATTGTCATGCACTGATGTCTGTGGTTTCAAAAATGGCACAAACAAAACTGAAAGGCGGAGGATTGTTATTGGATCAGAAGAAGAATAGAACACTGAATCTAACTCTTATTTGTAAATAATATTTAAAAAATAACACAGAAAGTTATATTTTCACAGGTAAAACAAAACATAAAGGCCTTGCTCAGTGTGGGCTGAAATTTCTTTTAATGTGCTGTTGTTGTTGGACAATGGTGCAATTAATTACAATAAAAAGGCATTTTTTAATTAAACCTCTGCTATTAAAGATATAATATACTTGAATAGAAATTTTTTTATAATTCTACAATGTAGTGCAATTATTTTTGAAATAACTTCTTGAGCACCGTGCAGTTACATAAACAGCTAACACAACCTCTAGGATCAAGGTTTGTAAACCCTACGCATGGATTTATATTATATTTATCTCTGTGAAATATGGATTCAGCTAATCTTCAAGTTATTAAATGTATTTTGGCACATCTTAGAAATTAAGTGCATTCAAACTTACAATACAGAACATACGTGATTTTACGACCACAATATAGTGTAGTAGTGTGAACTTGTGCGATTGTTGTAAAAGTGGCACGGTACACACGGGCTGTACAGCAGGTATTTTTGCCGTAAATTCATGCCATCTTTTAGCAAATGATTTCAATACACATATTTCTCAAATTTCTTTAACCTTTCTCTCAATATTGACATCGGTTTTAAAAACATTGGACGTATTTTTTATTGAAACTACGTGTGGGAATTTTCTATAAAATCTGCAAGCTTGGCGTGAAAATTCATTGTTTACATCGATTAGATGTACAGTGGTAGTGATAATTTTGTTTCCGTTGTACACCGGTGTAACAACGTTTGAAATGTTTTAATCCTTATCTTGTGAATAGAAAGGGGCGGGAAAACAATGGAGAGCCGTATAAATCCTTTCAAAATTCGAACGCACAAACACAATAGCTTAGGCGTTATAACACAATACTTAAGACGAGTGAACCCCATGACGCCGGTTTCTGTGTCCAGCGCGAGCGCGACAATCCGCTGTAACTAGGTGTAATTAACAGCAGGATACATCAGCCAGAAGGTCCCCATTGTTTGTTGCGGCGATAGGATTATAGCTTTAAGAGGCTAGAACCCATGCTAACGCGTACCACGCGTAGCGAACTGTCTTTCTGTTCACTAGTTTGGCACGCACAGCTGATATGTTTTTAGTGTTGCTAACAAACTGCTACAATGTAAAAACAGTGTTTAGCTCTGAGACACATTTCTAAGCGCCTGTTTTGTCTCATTTTTTTCCACGCGTTTAGCACCTAATCACGTTTAGCCTATTAACATGTTACACGCTTTGACGTGCTTGACGTCTAATTAATGTACACTGTAAAAACAGTGTTTAGCTCCTAAACACATTTCTAAGCGCCTGTTTTGTCTCACTTTTTCGACGCGTTTAGCTCCTAACATGCTTAGCTCCTTAACATGTTACACGCTTGAGTTTAGCAGTATGACGCGTTTGGCGGCTTATAAATGTAGGGTGTATTTGTTTAACTTTTGGGTTACAACTGTTTTGGTCGCGCTCACACGCGCGCGCGCGCGCGCGCACACACACATCCACGGTCACCTGTAACTGCTATAGTTATCTCTTTCTATAACAGGGTACCGTGAACTGTCAACATCGTTGACTTCCCACTATCATCTTTACAGCTGGACTTATTTATCCTTGTGTTAGCTGACCTTGCGAGGAAGTTTATTGGAATGTATTTCTGAAAAGCAGGTTAGGAAAATTCACTAGTTCACTAAAGGCACGAAACAACTATCATTTTTACTTTAAAACACCTTTCTCCATATTTTGATAAAATGCGTTACGGTATTGATATCTATTTATTATTTCCGAAAGTAATGAACAATAGAACATCAGGATGATGGTGGGGTATTCATTATAATACTTTATTTAAGCTTTCATCACATGCTGGTTATTTCGGTACCGATAGTCCGAATGTTCTACAATTCGCACCTCTCTAGTCGCCGACTAACCCCAAGCCCATTTTGGAATTAACCGCTAACTGTAGTTCAAACAGCATAAGACGTGTTTTGGTTATTTATATAAAAATGTTTTCAAAACATTATATAATGTTTTTCCAGAATGTTATAAACACGCTGATAAAACTCCACAAAATGACATTACATGTATCATAAAATTTTGTAGAAACGGTCTTCGAATCTTTTTACAAATTATAACGTTACTGTACATCATTAAAGCACCCATCACGTTACCATAATGTTCTTCTATACCATAACCAGCATGTAACCATCTGATAACGTCGTGAAAATGTTATTTGTTATTTGGATTATTACTTAAAGGTACATATGAACCGAGCATCGGTGGAGCGTGGGTTGCCAGTAACACATATAAACCCCTTCTACTAGATTCTTATACTACTCAAATAAAGGGACAAATTGAATAAATCACTCGATCAGCCATAAAAGAGCTTTAGACTGCTCTTTAAATTTTTGGTCAGAAATTTAACCTACTTATGTGACCTACTTTTCTGCCCCATGTATATATAGGACAGTAAGCTAACAGAAAAATCCATTCAAATATCATTTTTCAGGTAATATTAATCAATGACTTCTGGCAATTTTCTTAATTATACTTTTTGAAACTATATACTGGTATTTGGTTGGTTTTTGAGCAAAAAATTGACTTTGTATGCATCTTAAATAGGCCTATTTTAAATAAGCACGCGTTACTGCAAGGAAGGACACAAAGCGTTCGAGCAGACTGCTCCACGCCTTCAACAGCTCCACACGTTTACAAGGGGAAGTGTTAGGCCAAATTGTTGAGCCTTGTAATAAACTTATGGGGCCGGTGAAACTAATCACATAGCTAAAAGTGCGACACTTCTAAGAATGTTAAACATTTTTTATTTCTTCTGAAAAAAGCTTGAAAGGCTAAACTTGTTGTTCAGCTACCCTCTACCAGGGTGACAGATTGATTTTTCACAGATATTCACTGATATGTCTCTAGATAAATAGATAGTCAATTTGATCTGATGTCGCCTCAGCAAAAAATGTCCCCAAGAACTGCGGCCTTGGTAGAGGGTATTGTTCAGCAGCTCCACGCGTTTAGGAACTCCACACCTATAGCAGCTCCATGTGTTTAGCAGCCTCACGCGCTTAGCAGGGGAAGTGCTTAGCCAATGTGCTTAGCTTGTGATAGACTTATTATAGATCCATATACCGGTGAAGCTAAGCACATAGCTAAACGTGCTTAGCTTTTACACATATTTCTAAATGCGTATAGGTGCTTAACGTATGTTGTATGTATTTAAATGCTAAGCACTGTTTTTACAGTGTATTATATATCTGCCTATATTATGCAAATTTTAATGAAGCAATCACCATATATTTGTTGCACATCTTGTCAATTTTGTTAAATAAATATTTAACTTCTTTACTACAGATTTAGGTTGTTAACTATGGTTTAAAATTCTGATATAAAGAAAATAACGCTCTGTTATAAAATTGCCTTTTTTCAAACTGAGATTTTATTTAAATTATTTATTCACCCAGAATTTTCATCTTCGTTAAAGAAAACACAGGCAAACAGTCAATGTGGCGTAGTCAAGTAAAATGTTATATTAGATTGAGTAAATTTGGGACTAGCATAAATACCATATTTTTTTCAGATTAATTTTAATAGAAACGGACAGCTATTTGAATTCACACATACATGAATGTATTGAGCATTTGGCGAAATAATCAGCTAGACACCCCGTAAAACCTATACTGTACTTTCCACACTTTTCCTAGCTGTCTTTCCAAACGCGTTTTAAATAAAAGAAAAATTTTATTCCGATTTATTTACTTAGAAGATCAGCTGTTGCAAATGTTTATCCTTAAATGAAAATTTCTTTCAAGTCAGATATTCTATTAAAGATGACTATTAAGCATATTATTTGTCAAATTATTGTCTTTTAACCTGTCAAGTACAATCATAGCCTTCCTTTCAAATATTATATGTTAAAATGGCTTAGATTGTTCAAAACAGATTTCCACGTGTCATTTATGTAAAATAGTCATCTAGTCACCTGGCAACATGGACAATCGCCAGAGATGGAAATGACACGTTTCCTCGTGCACCAAACTCCCTCCCCGACCAACCTTAATATTCCTGGCGTACCAATACTACACAGAGTGGAGGGGGGAGCTGTGATCATCAACAATGTCAGCTTTGACAATAACTATTACCCTGACAGAGAAGGCACAGAGGTGGATGTTGAACGTCTGGAAAGTTTATTTCAGCAACTACATTACCTAGTGTCCAGGCATGACGACATGACTGCTGGGGTTTGTCTAATTTAAACGTTCACTTACATGTGGTCTGCCGCATATTTTAACCCTCAAAATAGAGTCGGTATAATGCCAGGGTTAAACTATGTGGAGGTACATGTAACATATTAACTCTTTCTGTCATTTAATATATGATAAGGATGAAATCATTTGATTATATTTTCTTTGATTGTGTAAAAAAAATCGCATATATATATATATATATATATATATATATATATATATATATATATATATATATATATATATACACACAATTGTTCGGGTATATATTCCGTAATGTCAGTCACACAATTCAATCTGTGGCACAAGAGTACAGGTACTTTTTTATTTTTCCCTGTGGATATTTTAAACTGGTACTCTCTTATTATGGCTTTGGCACATTGTATTATACAGTTTTCTCTTTCTGTTGACAATAAAAACATATTAGGAATGCACTACATGAGACAATAGGGTCGGCCCTCCCCTGTCCAATGAACAGCAATCACTACAACGTTGCGACCAGCGCATCGTTCATGATGAAGTACCTGTTTATCTTCATATTTGTCCACACTGTAGCTCTCCTCTGTGATGACTATAAGAGAAACGCTTTGTTCATATCAAATTCAATCCACGAATTCACTAAAATTATACTGATAAATAAGTAAGTCCCAAAATGTGAGAATCTTCCCTAATGCATATCATCAGTTTCATGTCTTCGTCATTACAATAAAAATTAAAGGGATAAGAACTCTTCGTATGAGGTCTATATTTCACAATAAAAACAGTATGAATAACTCATAGAAATATAATATATTCTGTTTACGACAAAAACAGCAGTTATAGTTATTATTTTTATATCTGAGCTTGTCTTCAGACCACGTGACCTCCATTGATGGCTATACTCTGTTATAACCTCTTAAGAGATTTTAACAAAAAACCAAACTTTTTAGAAAAAACCAGGGACTAACTTTGAATGTAAAAATGGATTCATAAACCATTGGTAAGTATGGGAAAATTGTTGTTTTCTCCAGGAATATTCAGTTTTTGGCCAAAACGAAGAGTTATTATTTAAATACTAAGTGGATAAATATATAACAATAAACATTTGGTCAAATATCTATAACTAATAATAATGATCATGGTTAACACACAATAAAATGTTCATTATAATATATCATAGTGCATAGTGATTTTTAAAAAAGTCATAATATTTATCAAGACTTACAAATGTTATGTTAATTCCGTGCATCTCACACACTCTCAATAATAATGATACCTAGATCAGTGTCTGAAATCACTGAAGTAACAATAAGGAAGATTGAATCATAAAGTCATTAAAATGTTGTGATATTACACACACTTCTTATACCAAAAGTTTGCTCGCAAAGATCAATACATTCTGTTAACTATAGACACGTGTAGAAAGTTGTATTTCTTGTACTGTATTTCTGAAATTGTATGATATTGTGTATTTACAAGCTATGGAAAACAGCAGATTATTCTATAAAAACATGAAAAACGTCTTGTCTTTTGATTTGGTAATTAATTTTCTATCACAAGAATTTCCAAATCCAAGTTGTCTTTTAACAATTAAATAGGTATATAATATCATTTTAACATTATTACTATTACTTACTTCTGAATTATAATATTTGTACAAACTTAGTCTTTATTTCAAGTAGACTTGCATAGCTGCATATCTGATTTTGATTTTCTGTAGCAGTTATAAGCTGCATCCTATGATCGCTCCATTAATTTAAGATTTTATCACGGTCTCGATCAGCTGTGAACACGTGTTATTTAACATCTCCATCATTACTGCGGTGTTTTAGTACGTTAATTTGTATTATAATTTGTACATTATGTGTATCAGCTAAGTCAACACAATGTCTTGATATAGATGGATCATGTCAACTTAATGACAAGTCGAATAATCAAAATAAATAAAGTTAACATATCTTTATCACTTAGGGGTCTAAATGCAGTTTTAATGCAAGATGGGCATTGCTATTTGATAATTATTTCTAAAGCTGAATAAATTACATTTGAAACAGTCCACCAAAGTTAGCTCCGTAGAGCTGATAACACATGGCTGCTGTGAGTTATGTTTCCTTTCTCCTGAAATCACATACTGAGGTTAACTATACAATTAAAATGAATCAATAAAATAAAGATCGTCTAAATTAGCTAGCCAAATTTTGGTCGTCCATTATTATGCATAATAATTTAAATTAAACAACTACTTTATTGGGTCATTTTCTCGTTTTTAATTTTAAACAAATTAATTTAAGTTCAATTTTACCGAGATTGGCACAGTCTTCCTAATTCAAATAATTCCGACAGTGTACATGTGAGTAGAAAGAGGTGTATCACAAAAAGGCATGATTACCATAAAAACACACCAATATCTAAGACGTTCAGAATGAAACCATTAACTATTGTTCATTCTCAGTCTTCTTGCCATTGCTATGAATGGACACAACATGGATTCCGTTTCCTTTCACAGTAGTACACGTAATGGCAGCGATCTTCCCGTCGTCTGCTACTTTGATTTGTGAAAACATATCCGCCAGTTTCAGTCCGCTATCACAGTCCTGAAGTTCTTGAGTATCGGCCGTGTGCTCACTGTCTCCTGCTGCTGGCGAGTGCCATTTTGTCAGTTTTGTTGGACTTTTTATTTGACCGTCTTTTTCAACAGCTTGATGGACAGTCCAGAAGTCTGCACCAACCCACGCTCCTCCAAGTATAGCCTCTCCCTCTCCATGCAGACACTGGACATCATGGCCGCCCTGTGGGTCAATCAGGCTCAAGCAGTGGCGGCGGTCTTCCTCACGAACGGCGCTCACAGCTAACAACTTTGAATCCTTTCTGAACTCCAGCACACAGTGACGGGTAGGGAAGAAGTCTGTTGGCTTTAACTCGCGCGCAGAGGCCCTTGATACGAGGACCCTGTGGCCACAGAGAACAAAACCGTCATCATTCCTTCTGAATATCAGTAACACGATGCTGGCGTTTTGATTCTTTTCCCGCTTTTCTCCTATGACGGCGACGTAGTTGTCATCAGGAGATATCGCCACGGGGAACCGGTCCCCGTCTGGAATGTCCAGGCCTTTAAGGACTTCAAGTGATACTTCTGATTCCCTGATATCCAGCATTGTTTTTCTTTGGTCTGAAAACCCCAGTTTGCCGAATTCCGTGTCTAGAGTAAGAAAAATGTAGGATTGAGACAGGGTGGAGTTGAATGGTAGTCCCTGAACAAGAGACATTTTATCAAAGTAAGTCGGTTTGGACACTGATAACTCCTTCCCACTTTCTTTGCTTTGGATAGTTTGTATACAAATTGTCCTGAAACACCCCTGGGTTGACCCGTTGTTCTCTGCACTACCAGCGATAATGACACTAGTGGTCCCTGCTACAACGCTGCTTCTGCGCGTGACACCGGTTGCGATAAATGTGACACTGTCCAAACGACAACTCTTCGTGTCATAAACCCCTCCAAAAATATCTCCGTCATCAGCCATTGAACAATTTCGCCCCTTATCTAGCAAAACAATCACCTTATCGTCTCTATTGGGTATGGGGATTGTGACGGGAGGGTAAAAGCACTGACCCTCACTGACCTTCAGATACTGTGTCGTGTTCTCCTGTACACTCCATCCATCCGGGGATGTCGGGAATGTGACGTCATCAGGGCACTGCGCGGTGGATGTGGTGAAAAGAAGGCCCCGCAGACTTTCCTTATCCTGGTCCGCCATCTTGAAGTGCGATATTTGAGGCATGACGACCCTCTGGAAACTGGGCCCCTTGATGTCTATCTTCTGCACCAGAATCTGAGGCGGCTGCACGCCGGGAATGTATGTTGCCAAGGTTTGTACTCGTCTTGATTGAGACTGAAAAACAAGGTAATAATAATAATAATAATAATAATGGTGATGATGATGATGATGATAACATATTCAACGAATAGGTCTACTTTGAAAAACTAACGAAAACTAACTAAAAATCCTTGCTTACTTTTATTTAGTCTTTAATAATTTTTCAGTTAGCGAGCGATTTGTAGTTTTTATAGAGAGAGTGAATAAGTTTGTTAATACAGCCTTATTTCACAAATGAATGTTCTTGCAAGATACAGCGTTTTCCGTCCGTTGTGCAAATGAAATATACTGTCGCAAATGTTGGGCCCTTCAAAACGCAATCTACAGTCGCAACTAACACAATGTACAGACTGTGCCGCACAGTGCAGATTTACCCGATGTGCTGACAACCGTCTTCCTTACGGTTCTCCTCGCCAGCAGTTCATATTCATGATCGACGCAAGGTAATATTGACATCCGGGCATTAAAGAAGTGTTTTGTGGGATTATCGTTTCTTTCACAAAGCTTAATAATCTGAGTGTTACGTCTCAGACGGCCAAGGTAGATCAGCGAACGATTTTAATAGATTATCCAGTCAAGGATTGATTAATACATTATAGCAAACAAAAGAACTGCTGTGTTGAACTGCTCACATTCGTGTAAAATCAGTGAAACCACTGTGCGCATATAAATTAACGGGTTGTCCTCGGCGGTGAGCACTTTCCGTCCACAGTGTAATTTAATTGACCGGGGTAAGACCTCGCCACGCACGAGTTTACTGACGCTAAGGTAACATTAAAGCTAGTGAACGGCCTTATTAACGCAGTAAGGGAGTTTATAGTGGAAATCAAACGCCGATGTCAGGGTTGTGAGACCTCGAGCGGTTAATATTATCCATAACCTCGTGACTAGTATTAGTTTTCGTATTGTTTTTCCTCTTGTCTCCACTACCAAAGCAAGATAACTCTGATTATACTAGTACATGTCTGCAACCTGTACACGTGTTAAAATATTCTCGTTTGAACTTCTAGGAGGTAATGCTATGTATACTAAACAATTTAGAACTAAGGGACCGAATTTGACCTGAGGAGCAGAATAGAGCCATAACATACGCCGTGGTGATTGTTGAGACACGAGTTACTTGGTGGCAACACATACCTTAAGAGGTCTAAAACCTGTAATAGAGAGTAAACCTCTAACGCTGGTATTTAATTGATCTAATCGACCTCAGGCCAGGCCGTTACCTGAGTAGCAGTGCACAATGCTCGTGAATAATTTAACAAATTGATGCTAACAAATTTTAGAAGTTAACCCTAACAAATTTAACCCTGTCCGCAATGAGGCTATCTCGGAACAGATACACCAATAAATGCTGTCGTTGTGCATATGCAGTCATCCGCGTCACACACACAAAAAAATTTTAAACATCCATGCCCAAACATAAGATAAACCGCGATTTGGAGGCAGCTGCGGATGGATTAGCAGCATCCCATATCTTGGGTCCGCGCTGGCTTCACTGATAACAGCTTAATAGAAAAATTAAATTGAAGTCAATTGTAACATTTGACCCTAGTAGAATACAGGATTTAAAACGCAGACACATTCACAATGATATTAATGCTTTTATGTCCATTCCTTCAAAACTTTTTCTCTGTTCCCTGTTCCATTAGCGGATTTTGTGGGGGGGGGGGGGGGTCAGGGGGGTCTTGAACCCCCCTTCGGTTTCTGCAAAAAATCCAAAATTTTATCTAATATTAAAAACTAGTATTCCCCTTTTGAGATTGGAAATTTGATTTGCTGAATCATAGTTCTAAACCGTACCAAATGCCTTTAAAAAAAAAGGTCCTCTCCCTGATCCGCCCCTGCAGTTCTGTATTTTGGCTAAAAAAACTACTTTAAATATATTGATCAGATTGGTACTTGTGTTCAATATATTATGTTCAATGACCTGGCTGTGCTCATTAAAATGGGATTTTCTTGTGCACTGAGACACGCACACTGACAACGCAGAGACACACTCTAACAACACTGGGATATATACTGACAAATATTTCATCAGGAGATTTTCTTGCGAGTTATCTTGAACATTACAAAACTGAATATGAAGGATGCAACGATAACAGGAAACGAAACGTCTTCAAGCGATTACAATCATGAAAATGTCAGTTTGAAAAACTTCAGTAAGGATTTTTTTAAACGGAACATCATATTTATGTTCTCATTTACATATGTGGTAAACAATAATGGCACGTGATGTACCCCAGCGCATTTGCTGTTTCTGACGTTTGTACCGTGGATCGCTATCCGGTGTAAAAATGTAAAAGAAAATTGTTTTAATTGATTTTAAAGATACTTTAAAAATGTCATATAAGCTATTATTTCTTGGCACATTGATAAAAATGCAAACAATTCGTTCAGCTGATAAAGTTCACACACACACACACACACACACACACACACACACACACTCTCAGTAATCCAAAAAAACTGTTTTAAACAGACAATAAAAACTCAAGTTTAGTGTTAAAACGAGAAACAGCTTAAAAGGACAGAAGCTATTGAAAAACCTCTTACTAGCTTTAGATAAAGGACCCCTGGCAAATAAAAGAACTTCACGTAGGCATCACAATTACAGAAATGACCTTCCTTTGTGAACAACGGCCCCAGGTGCGTCTCGGAGAAGAATACAATTACAGAAGACAAAAAGGTTTCTTCTAATGAGATAAAAGACAGGACAAAAGAAAACAGATCCACGTAACTCCAGCCACCCAGAGGAGCTCACAGTTGCTCAAGTTACCAGGGTTATTGTGTTACAATAGCATTAAGGTGTCCTGTCGCGTCCATATGGTATGACACTGAAGACAAACCAGAGGTTATTGGACACTTTGGGGTCATTATCACGCCACATCTGGACAGCGTTGCTGTCTGACCACACCTCAGGAGAAATGAACGCAGGACTGACCAGTGATACACCGCTATTTCTTCCTTTTAAGTACACTTACCTGCTCACCGGACGAACACTCGCGGCTTAAGAAACTGATAGATGACTCGGGCGCGGTCGTCTGAATTTTTCGACAGTACTTTCTCTTGAATTACATTTATTAAATTAAGGCGGCAGCAATATCCCATGACTAATTTTTTTTTAATTTGTCAAATAAAAGAACAAAGCAAACAGAAGTAGTCGCTTATCTTTTGTATACAAAGAAAAAACAAGAAAATGCCATGTTTTCCCTTGATCAGATAGCTGGGCTGGAGTTACGGCTGGTACTAGTGACGTCACCAGTGCGGTACAGTGCTGGTATAATTTGATACTGTGACGTAAATACCGGGCCTCTCCTAATGTTGAACATAAAACAGACAACCAAACTTCACTAATCATTTTCTCCACAGGCCGAGAAGGGTCCTACACAATGTATGCTGGGGTTTCTACAATCGAAAAAAATCGAAGTTGACGAATTTTCTGGAACTTTCTGACCAATAATATGTCGAGTCTGAAACCTACATGTACATGATGAATACACGGCTTATGTCATGTGACAGGCGCCGCTGTACGCTCTGCTTACATCCGCCATTTTTTTTTTTTTTTTTTTTTTTTTACCAGTACCATTTTAAACTAAAAACCATGCCTTGTGATATATATAAATATTAATTTCAACATAGTGTTTGAAATAAGAGTGTATATTAAAATCATCGGGAGAATGTGGGATCTTCCACCTCTGTCGTGATTTCTAGATGAAATATATCCATGCAGTGTATTTCCTCTTGTGTGAAATAAAACTCCACCTCCGTCAGCTGTATGCCACATTAGAGTGAATGGGCAGCAGTACACGGATCTACGTATTATTTTTAATTAGTAATTCTCAATCTAAGTTACGGATATTCTATTTCCATATAAATGTTTTCAAATTTTATTACAGTGCTGCGTATGTTTCCATGTCAGTAGTAAGCACATTATGCCCCAGTGTGATTTTTTTATCTAAATTATCGCCGATTCCAAAAGACTTCTACGTGACTTACTTGTACTTAAATGATGTGCAGTTAAATTCTTTGCCGAATATTTTCTTTAATGAGCTTTCTTTAAATTATCAGCGAGATTTACTGTAACCTTAAACGAATAAAACGTTTTTTTTTTCAATCTGCAGCTAAACATTCCTTGTCGTCACAACTTTCATAATTGGTTCTAATTTCGCGGTTTTGTCTGCCATGAATTTGAAGGCCTGTAATAATAGGACCGCAATTATAAGATCAATAATTCATGCCGTCCAAATATTTTATCGTATTCCGCATGCTGAATAAAACCTAGATTAACTGACGATGCAGTTTTCATATCCCCCTAAATAATAGTTAGTTTAATATAAGGTTTAGTGTAGCCTATTCTAGTTGAATCAGTTTTTTTTTTTTTTTTTATTATCCCTATATTGATCTTTATTGAGTAGTACTTGTACTTTCCCTGCTTTAGTCTAGACATTATATAATGTATATCAAACTGTATATGGTAATCACTCTGCGGATTACTTCTTGTATTTGTATTTGATCATGCCCGGATGTAGGGCGATTGTCAATAAACTTCTGAATCTGCATATCCAGTATATTACTTACCATATTCAAAGTTTTCTTCAGCTTGCCTTGAATGAGGAGGAGGAGCAGTCACTGGCACTGTCTAAGCGGGGAAGGACGTCCTACAACATGAAATGCTAAATTACAATCACGCTCTCTGAACATTGAATGGCATTTTACGGGTAAATTATTATCCTTTTAATACCAACTGGAAATTCGTCATAATTGCCGCTGTGATGGGCCAAAGATTGATTGAAGCCTAGATTCATGCTGTATCATACTGCAAGCTTCAAATTAAGTTAGGCAAAACGCTTAGATGTTTGACAAAAGATATGTCAAAAAAAATGGGATGGAAATTCTCGTGCATGTACATATACGACAGGAAGACTTACTCTTATTGTACAGACAAAGCTACACTGTTCTTCCCCAAGAGTTCTATCAAACCTACGGCGTACACTGTACTAATATCTTATGTTGGATCCTAGTTTGACTTTCTAACGACTCTCTGTCATTCTGTCTCTGTACTGTACTAGTAGCATGTGCACCCAGGTATTTTAACTTTTTTCACCAGCCACTCTTACGCCACAATTATCTTTCTTCACAATCGCCATCTCAATAGCGTCGTGATCAAAGGTGTTAGTTACAGACGCGAAAACGTGTTAAATATTATCACCGTTTGATGATTATCAACCCACGGTATCTGGACTACAAATTGTTTAGGTGTTGATTATCATTACGATCAAAACGTGTTTTGCACCTGGGTCTGATGTTGTCTGGATTGCCATTAACTTTGTAGTACGCGTTATCTTCAACTCTTGCCCCCCCCCCCCCCCCCCCCGGGCCGCCTGAGGACAATTACCCCACCTTATACAAAGGAGGAATTTGATGTCTTGATTTCTCTCTAATTAGTGTTGAAAATAAAAGCTGGTTAAAATACCTTTGTAGTATAGTAAATTTTATCGATCTTTAACCCATTCTCTTACAAAATATAAAGTTTAAAGAATACTAGCTACCACCGTATTTTGCTGCCATTTATATAGTCCTATTGACACACTCTAGTATTTATTGATTTCGACCGTGATTTTGATACGTCATATAATAATATAGAGGGTACAATGTTTGGTGCAAATTTTAAAGTAATGAATTGCTGATCTAAATAGCAGGGACAAATTTAATTTCGAAATGAACAACTAAAAAAACAAAGGTAATATCATTGGTAAATAACACGGTCTTTTTTAGGGAAAGACACATAATCTACTTAGTAACATTGATAATTTAATACAGTCACTATAAAGGTCTACTGAAATACACCAGAAAGTTGGATAATGTTTTAATATATGTAACCAAGTATAGTCTAAGTGGACTTTCTCAGTTAACACCACACGACCCAGCCCAGAAAATGGACCTTCTCACGAACTTCCTGGCTGCTGCTTGGTGGCTGTGTGAACAAAACAAAGCATTCGCGTTGCATTGTGGGATCTTACCTGTAAATGGCTCTGCGAAGCGGGAAGCTTTCGGCCGGTCAAGAGTTGTGAAAGAAGTTCTAAAAGGTCGAAAGGTAAAATTTAGTGTATTAGCAAGTTTCAAGATGAGTTTGAAGGAGACTTGATAACTAGGCTTATAGATTCCGTGCTTACTGACATTCTGTCACCATAGACAATGGGTTATAAAAAAAGAACCCAGCAGTTTACATTACGATTTGAAGGGCATTAATTTCATTCTTTAATTCAAGAAATTTGGGTTTTTATAATGTGAAAAAAGAAAAAAATGGATTTTTATAATGTGAAATAAAAAAATGGATTTTTATGAGGTGAAATAAGTGGAACTTAACATAGAAATCTCGACAATATTTGTAAATATCCCAGTAACATAGAAAGTTCTGCTAACGACGTAAGTGTCACCTCTACCGGAGGTGTGCAATCAGCTGAGCCATCCCCGATGAAATCGACACGACGGCAATATATCGGAGATAAAAAATTGGCTTGAATGCAATCTCTAGCAATTTACTATGTTGACAGGTACATTTACAGGGGCGGATCCAGGATTATTTGAAGGTGAGATTCGCGGATGCGAAGCCGACAACCCCCCTCCCCCCCCCCCCCACACACACAGACACACACACACACACACAAACACACACAAATTTTGGTATTTTAGAGGACGAAGGTACGGTTTAGAACTATGATTCATGATTCAGCTAGTCAAATTTCTAATTTCATGAGGGGACCATTGGTGTGATTTTTTGTCAGAAATCGAAGGGGGGACCCCCCTGCGCCCCCGTAAATCCCCCACTGCATGTATATTATTATTATTATTATTATTATTATTATTATTATTATTATTATTATTATTTGAGTATTTTTTAAATTATTTATTGACTTCATTATTTTTTAATTAACTAAGCGAACCGAAACTATCGAATCGGAACTAACCAAATTAAACAAATAAATTTTGTTTAACTAACTGTACTTCACTTGTAATTAAGCAGACGGCGGCTGGATGTTGATAGTAATTAATATCTGACCACAGAGATCAATGTATGCCACAAAATTATTGCTTAATTTTGAAAGCAATTTTAGAGGCCCTGGATATCATATGGCTGACATTAATCCCTGCAGTAATTTCCGAACTCGCCCGGATATCACGGTATTTAGAGCATAGATGTCCCTTTGAAAGAACTTAATTTTCTGACATCCAACTAATTATCATCCGGCATCCTATTAGCAGTAATTTATTCATTAATTTCCTACTTATCGGATGGTCATAAAAAGGGCAGTCATGTCGAATTCTATAACCCTGCAAACCGCCGGACATTGCCTGTGAGAAATTAAAACTCAGCATTTTTAATGCAACTCCTATCCGTAGTTTGTTACAGGCTAAAACGAGCGTTTTAGGTGCTCGCTATTAATGTCAGAGGAATTAGTCGTTCGTGAGACGTGAAAAGAAATGAGTTGTGACTATTCTGCGTCTGTTCCCTCATGGAGGCGTCTTTATTTTAGAGTCATTTGAAGGCTGGAGCAGATCGAGTTCCGTTTGCAATTGTGCTCATAATACCACCTTCTGTCACGGACTTTCTTTTGTCATTTTCCCTGTCCAGAGCTGGCTGTCAGTGATGAAAATAACGCAAAACATAACCTTTAATTCTTAGAGAGTAACATGAAATATATTAATATGATATTATGTCCGCTGTAACATCAGTAAGACCAAAATGTAAGTGGGATATGTTTTTTAAACACTGTATGTGAAAGTGCAGATCAAGTAAATAAATAAATAAATAAGTAATAGAATACAAAGACAACCATTAACTTGTTTTGAATATACTGTAGCACACATGGAAAGGATGGGAAAGACGCAGACAGTGGGAAAATCTACATTGTGATAGCCGGCTTACAGGAGTATGCCTCACGAAGGAAATCAAGAAAACGTACTGAGAACGACGTGGAAGAGTGGTTCTCAATAGAGACGGTGCCCGGGGGAGGACAAAGACCCCTTCAAAACTCGCTTTCATGCTTTATATTCCACTGCGATGGCGGTCGATCCTTGCCTGGTTAATATTTAATGTGGTGTTAACAAATTAAATGCTTCCCCTGATCACTGGGCATCAAGAAGAAAAATCAACAGCAAAACATATTCTCAACGTAAAGGCTCTGGAAAACATGTATTGAATATATGTGAAAGTTCCCCACTGGGGGGGGGGGGGCATGTAAACATGTATAGAAAATATGATCAAAGTCAAATTTCATGGAGTATTGAGTACTTACAATTCTGCCTTCACCCCAGTCACACGGAGACACTAAATAAACAGTGTTGTCAAAGCGGCAACATGGACACGTGCCTCAGTTACATTTATGTCAACATTAGCATTGACATGTCGCTACTGAAAACAGATTCCATTTCGATCCAATTAATTTCTTATGGTATATGTATTTCTCTAGCTTGATAATAGTTTTTCGTTTCTCAATAATGTCTTTGAATATTAGAGTGAACTGTGAAATGTTACACATATGTTTGTCGTATATAAGCCCACATAAACATACGCTTTTGTAAAACGTCAAATTGTCATCAAAACTCTCCAAGATATTCACATTTCACGTGGACCGCTATCTTTATTTACGTAGATCTGTATAAACATATTATTTTTTCCCGTAAGAATACCCGAGGAACAGTTACTCAATCCCTTACAGCTTATTCTTTCTATGGCTATGTTAGACCTGCATACGGTAGCACCAATAAAATCGGTGCAATCAAGACTGTTAATTGCTTTTCTATTATCAACTAGAAAAATTGCAGATAAAAAATCTATGTACATGCAGCGCACGGCAAAACTATTTGGGAANGGAGGTCATACCCGCAATTACTGGCTTTTCATGATTTACTGTAGTGAGTTCTTTGACTGTGTAACATATCACTGTCCGGAGGCTATCATTTACTTTAATATCTTAGCTTAAAGTTAATACTGACATTAAACTGTTGATGTGGTTTTCTGGGGGTGTTCCTTTCTTTTGAATAGCATCTTATGTCAGATTTGATATCATTGACCAAAATATCTCACAACAGAAGACTGGATGTTTTTATTACTCAGTGGCATACTTTTTTAATGACTCAAGCCAAAAAAAAAATTAATCAGTACTCAAAAATAACAATGATAAAAAATATTCCATATTAAGTAGCAACCCTGTAGTTTGGAATCGTGGCAACAACAAGTAAAATTAACATGTTGATGTAAAAATTTTGATTATTTGCTGTCTGATGCGCTAAAGCTATAAACATAATAGATAGACGTAGAAAAATGTGAAAAGATTGGTCAGCCTTTTTTCTTCTCAATAGATTATTATAATTATCAAAATAATGATAGACATTATTATTATTGAATAACTGTACGGTCATTTATTACTTAAATATAAATTAAATTAAAAATGGAAATTGGGAATAAAACATCTAATTCAAGTGCATCAGAGGGTTGATCAATAATGCAATAGTAGGAGAAAATTCCTTTTTACCGAAGAAAATTCATTTTTGGCTTTTTTATTTTTTTTAAAGTTAGGACACATTATGGACTTAGTTGATCCTGTGAAGCTGTCCGCTATGCTCCTCCTCCTCCTCTGTTCTGAGTTTGTTGTACCACGAAACACGGTTTATCTCAGGACAAAAATAGACTGAATTTATCACGTGATTTTTGAAGTAGGCACCAAGTCTTTCGGTCGATGTGAGTAATAGACATTCGTTATCAATATGATAATATTTTATAATACACATAAAAGCTATCCAGCACCTTCCACTAGATGGAGTGAACCAGCTGTTTTATCCCAGTTCAGTCTATGTACTACGCGCTAAAAGACGTCCCAAACAAAGACGATAAATAAAGGCAGATTATTCAATACCGTCAGTACGTCTCTCAGGCGATTCTTGCCTCTGTATCAGAGACGTGGTTTAAGTCAATTAATATTTGCTTTGTCCTCGAGGTTTACTTATACATCACTACTTATCGTCTTTAAAGCCGCCATTTCGCGTGTCCTCTAGGTAAAGACTCTTTAACCAATAATTAATGATAAATAAAGAAAGAAAGAAAGAAAGAAAGAAAGAAAGAAAGAAAGAAAGAATGTATTAGGGCCAAAAAAATGCCACTCATATTGTCATCTGAGACGCGGTGGAGTTCTGTATATAAAAACTTATTTTACTTTCGTTAACGAATAGATAAATATATGGTTAAACAAGCCAGAAATTCCCAGTAACACAACAGTAAAATTTTA